AGCGGCCGAGCTCTGCACCGACCTTGTTCACTGACAACAAGGCGTCAATTCTCCTTTGTCGAGAGCCGCGACTGGAGAGCAGAGTGAAGCACATTAACGTCAGGTACTTTCTTCTGCAAGAGTTGCAGAGACGTGGACAGGCTCGCTTCGAGTTTGTGGAGTCCGAGGCCAACACTGCAGACATCGTCACCAAGGCGCTTCCGCCTTGTGACCACCAGAGGTGTTGTGTGCAGTTAGGCCTTGTTGACACAGTTTCTACTCGTGTATAGGCTTGAGTCTACTGTTTGCTTTGCTTGTACTCTTGCTATACACACTTGTGAACTCTCGAACTGGCCTTGTGGCTTCTGTTGCTTGTGCTCAGAGTGTGTGGTGACGTTGTGATCCGCCCTGAGCTTTGTTTCTTTGTGACTGGTCTTGTGACCGTACACTTTTGGTTTTGCTTGACACCCCTCACTTAGGCTATGGGGGTGTGTCAAATGTTGTAGCCTGTAGTGAGGTTTGTCTTAGGGGGTACAGATATTAGGGTTTGTTATATGTACCCCAACCCACATTAATGAACCAACACTTTCGTTCTTAACAGTCCCTAGTTGACCAATCGCAGCAAAATGTTAGACAAGTTCCCGCGAGTTGGCTCTGTGCGCTGGATTGCCCGAGGCGTCTGCCATCCCACCTCCCATCAACCCAAACATCTCAAGCCAATGCATGTTGGTGGCACCTCGCCACCTCGTTCACCGTTTCCTTCCATCTGTTCATTATGGCTCTTTGCTCGGCAAGCAGGCTAAACCCTGGTAGCAAACACTATGCTCTGCGCTGAGGAGTCCCCACTCAATACCACTCGATCGCCATGGCAACGTCTAGCACGCCTCCTACCAACATAGACCATGTAGTTGCTCCTCTTGTTAACAACAACAACCGTGGCCTTACCAGCCTTGACTTCCTCCGACCCGCGATCGTTATCGGTGAGTGGTTCAGTGGTACTGGTCATGATTGTCGTGCTCTTTTCAGTCACCAAACTAATAGCTCATTCATATTTCCTATATTCTGTGTGCTTCGCCCAACTGCAGGTCGACCTCACTGGCGTGCAGTCCCTGGTCCGCCGCACAGTCATCTTCATCCGCGAGCGATACATCGAATATGGGGCCAAGTTTGGCGCGGAGGCAAGCAAGCGCTTGTCGCCCTTCCTCAAGCGTATATCTTCCAGCCGCACCGTCAAGGTTGAAGGCGTCGATGGTGACAGAAGCACGCGGACACACACCTTTGACTTGCACGAGGAGCCGCTGAAAGGGTACAGCAAAACGCCAGGCGACCTGGAGACTTGCTTCAACACCTGCCGCTCGTATGCGCCGCCGGTAGTGGACCACCTGCAGCGGAGGTTCAAAGACCTCGACAGTTTAGATGGCGCAAAGCTCTTCAGGCCGGACAGCTGGCCGAAGGACACAGACGGATAGAACAAGGAGTGTGCTGCCCACCTGGAAGCCCTATTCCAGATGTTCCACATCGGCGAGAGGAGGGAGGTGCTTTCTGGTGAGTTGTGCTTTCGGCAAGCGCAGAACCTGCGCGTGTTACCGACAACTGACTGGCGTGTTTACCTTCTCCTCCTTGTGAGCTTGGGTGCAGGTGTGGACAAGTGCATGGCGAAGAAGGAGCTAAGGACCCTTGTGCCTGTTCTCCAAGGAGCTCCGCGTGGAGAGCGCAACTTCCACGATGGCTTGGCGGCAATGCTCAAGACCCGGCGACTGGGGGTAGCAGCGGCGGCAGCAGCAGCAAGCCAAGGGGAAGGAGAAGGTGCCCGATAACTAGGATTCAGACGAAGAGATTAGCAGCAGCAGCAGCTCTAGCTCGGATGGGGAAAACTACTAGTTCGGTTGCATTCAAGTGTAATAGTAGTTTAGTGAGTGTGCAGTAGTAGTAACCCACCAGACGAAAAAAGTGTAGCAAGTAATGTATTCTTTATTCAAACGCTGTAGCTAGTGCAGCATCAGTAAATACAATATGCAAAAAAAATGCCCTGAAGCATCAGGGTTCAGTTCTGGTGATGCCCTGAGAAATCAGGGTCACCCAAGGGGCTCTGCCCTGAGGAGGACACGCATTTCTGAGCCATGCCTTGAGGGCCCAGGGTCCCTTAAAATGAATCCGAGGCCCTGCACCTGTGGCACCTGAGACCTGACCGCTCAGTCACTTGTGTATATTCTGAGCAACTTGAGCAATGAAAATGAATTAGTAGCTGTCAAAGTTATATTCACTTTAGTTATCTAGCCTATAGTAATTTGCATATTAGGGGGTACATCAATTCCCTCGACAATCTCTTGTACCCCACCCTTTGACCTAGTCTATCATTCCGTTGCATATGGTTCTTAAGATGGTATCAGTTAGGTTCGACTCCTAGCCTGGCCTCGCCTAGCCTAGCTTAGCTCGTGTTCGCCCCCTAGCGCCCTCCGCGCCCTAGCCTTGCGTCGCGCACCTCCGCGCCCTCCACGCCCCCCATAGAGCGCCCTCCGCGCCTAGCCCTCCCCTACATGCCCTTCGCGCCCTCCGTATCGTGCCTCCGCGCCCTTCGCGCATAGCCCGCACCTTCGCCCGCACCCTAGCGCGCCTCCGCGCTCTCTGCGCCCTCCGTAATGCGAATTCCGCGCCTCCGCGCCTAGCGCTCCCCTACGCGCCCTCCGCGCCCTCCGTATCGCGGCTCTGCGCCCTCCGCGCCCAGCCTGTGCCTTCGCGCCTAGCCCTTATCTGCGCCTCCGCGCCCTCCTGCCGCGCTCCTCCGCGCCCTCCCCTCCACGCCTCCGCACCCTCCTTTTGCGCGCCTCCGCGCTCTGCCCCCACACCCGCCCGCGCTTCCCCGCCTCCGCGCCCCTACTGCCCGCGCCCTAGCCCTGCCTGCGCCTTGCCTGGAGCCCTACCCGTGCCCAGCACGCGCCCTAACCCAGCCTTGCGCCCTAGCCCAGCCTCGCGCCCTGCCCTACTATCTCTCCATGCTATTCCAGCCCTTCCTCTTCCGACCCGTCGCTGTTTGTTCGCGCTGGTTCGACTCCTTTCATTATACTAGTTTACGTCGACGACTTGGTCTTTGCTACAGCAGACAGGGCAGCTCTGGCTCAAGCGAAGTCCGAACTGAAGAAGAGACACACTTGCACTTACCTTGGTGAGCTGCAGCGCTACCTTGGCCTGCAGATCACCAGGGACAGAGCCGCTCGCACCATCGCACTAACTCAGTCACACATGGTGCAGCAGGTCCTTCGGCGGTTTGGGTTTCAGTTCTCCACCATACAGCCCACTCCTCTTGCCGTTGACCACCGACTCACTGGCCCTTTTCCCGACGAGCCCTTTGAGTCTAGTGGTCCCTACACAGAGCTCGTGGGCTGCCTTATGTACATGATGACTTGTATTCGGCCGGACCTCGCCTTTCCCCTCAGCGTCCTTTCTCGCTTTGTTGCGACTGGGAAACACCGTCCTGTTTACTGGACAGTTGCTGTACGGTTGGCGAAGTACCTGGCGACTACATCAGGCATGGGGCTTGTGCTTGGAGGGACATAGCCAGTTGTGTTGACCGGTAACCGCGAGTCTTCCTACGCTGACGACGCGGAGACTCAGCGTTCGACGCAGGGTTACTGTTTCAGTCTGGGTGCTGGTGCTGTGTCGTCAAGGTCTACACGGTCGTCGTCAGTGGCTTCGTCCTGCCATGGTGGCACAGGAGCTTCGCTGGTTGACCTTCTTGCTCACCGACCTTGGTGAGCGGCCTTGCTCTGCACCGACAACAAGGCCATGATCCTCCTGTGTCGAGAGCCTCGACTGGAGAGCAGAGTGAAGCATATTGACGTGAGGTACTTCCTCCTGCGAGAGTTGCAGCGACGCAGTCAGGTACGCTTGGACTTTGTGGCCTCAGAGGCCAATACTGTCGACGTCTTCACCAAGGCCTTAGTGCCTGGTGACCACCAAAGGTTCTGTGTGCAGCTGAGGCTTGTTGAGGTAGGCCCTCGGTTGCTGTAGACTTGCTGTTATCTCTGCTTGTTGTGCTTTGCTTTATATCCTAGTGAACTCTTGAATTGGCCTTGTGGCCGCTTGTTTGTGCTCGGAGTGTGTGGTGACTTTGAGCGCCACCCTGAGCCTTGTTTTCTTGTTTGCTCTTGACTGGTCTTGTGAACGTTGTTTCACTTGCTAGTTGTTGAGTGCCCCTCACTTAGGCTATAGGGGTGTGTCAGAGTTTTATTCATATTAGTTATCTAGCCTATAGTGATTTGCATGTTAGAAGGTACATCAATTCCCTTGACACTCTCTTGTACCCCACCCTTTGACCTAGTCTATCATTCCGTTGCATATAGTTCTTAAGAGTAGCCTACTGAAACATTTCCACTGGTAGGCAATATCCAATTCACTGATAATCAGTTTACCTACCGTAAGAGAAGCAGCATGGCATGAATGGTGAGTACTGACAGAGACAAAATACGGTAGTTCATGCACATGCACACCAGCAGCTGCCCGCTCACCCATACACTTCGAGCCAGCCCTTTCCCGTGCAAGAGGCAGTCCTACCCTTACGAAGCTTACCAAGCAGCCTTCCTCCCCATCCTCACCAATCTCTGCCTGTCCACCCCGTTCTTCTCTTCCCTTGCTGCACACCCTCCCTCCCTCGCCTCACTCCCTCCCTCCTCCCCTCACCCACTCACCACTTCACCTCTCCCCCAGCCTCTCCCCCAGCCTCTCCCCCAGCCTCTCCCCTAGCCTCTCCCCCACCCTCTCCCCCAGCCTCTCCTCTTGCCTCTCCCCCAGCCTCTTCCCTAACCTAGTTCCCGCCTATGCCCCCATCGCCAGCTCCCCCATTCCCATCGCCCTTCCCTCCCTCTTTTCCTCCCTCCTAGCATTCCTCCTCTCCTCCCTTGTTCCCCCCTCGGTTCCCCTTGTTTCCTCATCTCACCCTCTCCCACCTTATCGTCCTCCCCCAAAACACCTCCTCCACACCTTCCCCTTCCTCCTCCCTCCCCCCCTCTCGATCCCTTCGCGAGGCTGTCACTGATCCCTCCAACCCGCCTCTCATCGCACCTCCCCTTTCTGCCCCCCTCACCGCCTTCCACGGCCTCGCCTCCCTCTATCTCCCCGCCCTCTCCCCCCTCGCCCCCCCTCCTCGCGCGTTGCACTGGTCAGTCTCTGGCCATCGTCCCCATTATGTACCAGCTCCCTTTGCCCCCTTCGCATCGACCCCGCTCCACGTGGACGCGCCTCTCACACACGGCCACCTCCGCGTCCACTCCCACCGCCCTGCACCCGCGCACGTCCAAGTGGCGCAGCCCCCACGTGCGCGCCAGTCCCACCCTATCTGATGAAAACCTCCACTGATGCTAGAATCCACCCTATCTGGAAGACCACTGTGTCCGCTCCCCTCCCCTCCTGCTTCCGATCCCCTGATGCTTGCGCAGGTATTACCCAGCACAGGATTCTCGCCGGCGTAGCGTTTACATGCCGAACTCCTTCCGGACGTTCGCCAGGCTCTGCTTCCCTTTGCTCATGCGCGTTGCTGCACCTGCCTTGAGCAGACCGGTGCCGTGACGGACTGAATGCACATGCTCCACCGCTTTCTCAAAACTGGTAACGTGGGCCTTCGCGCAGTCCTCCTGGGCGCACAACCACTCCTCCCGAACACTCCTGGTTGAGGTAAAATCAATCGCTGGGTCCAACATCAGGATCTTCATTGCCAGTGAGAGCTTCAAGGAAGCAGCTGCTCGGGGGAAAGGCGGTACAGAGATGAGCATGGAGGGCCGCTGCTGCAGCCATATGAAAAGCAAAGTAAGAGCAGGATCTGTTACCATTAATCTCATGAGTGCGAATCAGCGACAGATTCCAGTTCCCGATGTTGTTCCGCCGCTCCTTAAAGCAAGCATCGTGGAAACATGACATGTGCATTCTGCTGCAGAAATCGCAGGTGAGTGCGGGGATAGACACCATCAGCTCGACTCCATGTACTTTGTCGGTGACCTTGTGCCACCACTTATACTTATCCCCCAGATGCCTGAAAACCAGACCCCTGATCTTGTCAGTGTCCGAACCCGAGACCGGATCCAGTACACGATGGAAAGCTGAGCCATCCAGGAAGGCCGTGTGGCCGCGCTTAAGCAGGAGCGCCTTCACCAAGTTCTTCCTGATCATCGCCGGTGAGATTACCGCCGGAACCCCCTTGAGCAGCACTTCAATTGCCTCCGGGTGAGCCGCACGTTCCCTCAGGTACTCCTTGTTCTCCGGGTGCAACCACCCAAACGTCAGCTTCTTCTCATTCACCGTATAATGCTCGATCTCCCTGCTCTGCATGAACTTTGCATCCGCTTCCAGCAGGAACACCACTTCGATGCGACCGAAATGCTTCTTGGAGAGAAAGGTGGCCGTAAGTTGCTGACAACTCGTTGTCTCCTTGACATTCTCCGACAGGTGCTTTCCCCACAGCAGCAGCAGGTGCTTGACAGTACTGATGATGTGCGGAATCTCGTTGCTCCAAGCGAAAGGGACCAGCAGCGTGATTGCGAAACCCGCCTGAGCCGCTATCTCGTTGAGCACCACGTGATCCTGGCATTCGTCGGGGTCGTCACTCAGGTAACCACCGTCATCTTCTGGCTCCAGCACCTTGGCCTTCCCCTTGTCCAGCGCAACCGACAGAGATGATGCACCACTCATACTCGCCGGCTTGACGTTGATCGCCTCCTTGTTCGCCTCCGGCTTGTCATCAATGCGCAGATCCGACGTACGAGCCGACAGAACATTGATCTCTTTCGCGCCAAGGGTTGTCGTCGTGCCGTTAAACAGCGTCTTCGGAGTGACTAGCTCGGGACGTGCATACAGAGGCTTCTTTCCATGGACGCCAGCACCGGGAGCATTCGTGACGGGAGCTCCATCAGGAGGAGCCATGGTGTGATGATGAGAATGGAAAGCTAGGTCAGCAGGTGTAGACCGAGTACTGATAGAGAAACTGAGCACCGGAGGCTTGTTCCCTGACTCGTGTCTCTCCCACCACCAGTGCCTGTAAATATAGTGACAGAAAGCGATAGAAAGCATCTCGAGAACATTGTCATTGAGAGTAGAACCCCCTTCAGCATTGGTGATACCGTGCGTCCTGGTAACTCCATCATCGGGCTGAGCCTTGGAAATGCCTGACAGAAGGACCGTGTGTACGGTGTTCGCTATTTGAACACAAGAAGTGTACCAGCAGAATCCTAGAGTCTTAAAGCCAGGATCTCAAGTAAGAGAAATTGGCTTCAATTGCAAAACACTTGCAGCTCGAGTCACCCTGTTTGTTTAGGCGAAATCGAGTGGTTGGGTTGGAGGTTCAGTGTGCGACTGATCCCCGACTTGCCCGTGAATCTCAATTGCAAAACAAATTGCTGTGCATGAGATTTTTCGGCAAGTGAGACACATTGCTGGGAAATGAGCTTCGGAACCCAACCAGATTTCCGTGCCTAGTTGGTTCGGAAGTTCACTGCGATTTTTGTTTGCTTCGCATCCCTCGTTTCAGCTCTCGTCAACTACTCTACCTCGTCAACCAATCACAGCCTAACACAATTCACTAACTGCAAAACAGCCAAACTACTTGAGATCCTGGCTTTAAGGAGTCCAAATCTAGCCTCGGTTAATTGAACTGATAAGAAATTGTAGGACATTGACGCGTGTAAAGCTCCTGGTGGCCGCCATGGCGGCCTTGGTATTGTCATTGTGTTGGTATTGTTAACGAGTACTGATGTATCGAAGATATCTTTTGCAGTCCACTCACCGCGACTCCGCCAGGAGGGTCCTAAACATCCTTGACCCCGTACCGTACCCAACCTCTCCGAAAATCGTTCAACTGCAAGCTCACTGAGCCGGGTCCACAGGAACTCTTGGGAGTGGGAAGCCACGTGAGTTCTTCGAGCCTTGGGATTAGCGGATTAGTTTTTCCCAGGAAAGCAGCCGAACGCCGAGTAACGCTGTGGAAGCATGCAGTTTTTGTTCGCCTAGATCTCCAGCTGTTCGCTCTCGGCTCCACGCGCTTAGCGCGACGTCCTAGATTTGCCCGTCATGGGAGACGACGACGACTCGCCTCTCCATCCTTCCTTGAAGACTTCTCTCAAGCAGCGGCCATCAGGGCAGACGACGTCACACGCGACGTCGCTGGCGACGATTCCGTCGCACGGCAGCGACGCTGCGAAACCCGTCGCGAGCGCAGCTTCGAATAGGAGCCGCGTTTCCGCCGTCCGATGGGACGATCTCGACCGTCTAAACAGCTCTGGTAATGCGACACGTCAGCAAGAGGCCAATGAAATGCCCACGTGGCTGACGCTGTCCGACGTCAGCGCGATCAGCTCGGCAGCAGAGAGCGAGCGAGGGGGCCGCGAGGCGTGGGACGAGGCGCGCGCGCGCAGGGAATGGGGGGAAGAGGCGGCCGCGCCGCAAGGATGGACGAACGGGAGGGGGGAAAGAGCGCGACGAGGGGAAGCGGAAGGGGAAGGGGAAGGGGAAAGAGCGGAAGCGGGGAATCCGGAGGAGAACAATATGTACGAAGTGCCACACAAGCAGCGGTTCCGAGGTGACCACGATTTGTCCCCACTACAGCAGGTGAGCGCCTGTGGCCGCGTCAGCAGGTGAGTGTTGTTCCTTATCAGAGTGAACCCAGAAGTGGCTGCTTGGAGCATCAGCATAGCACCAGGATCAAATCTGAACACCAGTGCGACTATGGCATGCACAAGTCAACACAGAGCCTGTCTCCCCGCACCGCCTCTCCCACTGATCCTGCACGGGTCTCCCACACGCTGCTGGGCCGCCCCTCAAGAGATCTCACCCACTCCGCCTTTGCCTCTGCCTTCGCCTCGCCCATCCCCATCCGCCTCCCCACCCCATCACCCCCCTCCCCACTCCTACAGTTTCTGAACTGGGTCTCCCACACGTTGCTGGGGCGGCCCTCAAGGGGCTTCATACACTCCGCCTTCGCCTTGGCATGAGCTCCCAACGCGTACACAACAACCCACCCCTCCCCCCTCCACCACCTGCAACCCCCCCTTGCAGTTTCTGAACTGGGTGTCCCACACGCTGCTGGGCCGTCCCTCAAGGGGCTCCACGCACTCCGCCTTTGCCATTTCCCGCATGGCCTCCCAGTCCGCCCCGGGCCTCGCCCCCTCTGACTCCCGAGCCAGCGCCGTAGGCTCGGCAGCGGGGGCCAGGCCCGCGTTTGCCCGGTCCGACACGTTTTTCCTGCGGGAGATGAGGGCGTCTGAGCTGCTGGGGAGGACCGTGGTGGCGCCTGATAATGGGTGAGTGAGGGGTGATGATGGGTGAGTGAGGGGTGATGATGGGTGAGTGAGGGGTGATAATGGGTGAGTGAGGGGTGATGATGGGTGAGCGAGGGGGTGATAGGGGTGAATGAGTGGTGAGAATGGGTGAGTGAGGGGTGATAATGGGTGAGTGAGGGAGGATAATGAGTGAGTGAGGGGTGATAATGGGTGAGTGAGGGGGTGATAGGGGTGAATGAGTGGTGATAATGGGTGAGTGGCTGAGGGTGTGTACATGGTGTGTGGCCCCCATCCCCCCATCCCCCCAGTCCTCCATTCCTCCGTTCCTCCATCTCTCCATCCCTCCGCAGTCCAACCGAACGACCCTTAGCCATTGATCTCATCTTGATCTCGCTCTCGCTCTTGCCTTCTACTCCTTCGTCTGGGACCCACCACCATCCTTCCTATCATCCATCCATCCACAATCCACCCCTCCCTGCCACACTCCCTCGCCCACTCCCCCACCCCCAGCCACCTGCTGCAGTGGCAGCAGTTCATTCTCACCCATCTTTGACCCGCCTCAACATCCTTCCCATGATTTTCCCCTCCCCTGTCTTCCCCCATCCCCCCCCTCACAATCAGCTACCTGCTGCTGTGGCAGCAACTCATCCTGGCCCTCTCCTTCTACTCTGCCTTCATCACGCCTCTCGAGTTCTCCTTCCTGCCCGTCCTGCCGCCCGGCCTCGCCATAGCGGATGGCGTCGTGAGCATCTTTTTCCTCGGCGATCTGATTCTCACCTTCTTTGTTGCCTTCAAGGACAGGAAGACCCAGAGCTACGTCTGCGACCACTGGAGCATTGCTACTAGGTGAGATGCGGTTGTATGCGGTGATTGGGAAGTGTGGTGTGGTGAGATCAGGTCAGAGAAGTGAAGTGCTCTGGAGGGTGGCGAAGTGCGGTGCATGAACGTTGGATCAAAGAGCCATGTTGTTGTAGGGAAGGGACTCAATCACTGTTGTGGAGATTCCTGACAAGTCAAGCTCGGTTAAGTGCAGTTCAACGCAGTGGGGTGGGGTGTGGAGAGGCAATGTGCGATGAAGTTAGATAAATCATGGTTGGGCCTCATGCAGTGATGCAGTGATGCACAATTCGAGCATCACCCCTTTGAAGTGACTGCCTGCTCTAGTGCAGCCGTGTGCCGCCCTCGCCTCGCCTTTGTGTGCAACCACTCCCTCCCTCCCTCCCTGCCCCCCTTGTTCTCTCAGGTGTTTCTGCCGGTTCTCTTTTGGATTGCTTTCTTTGCTTCATACAATTCACCTCCTCCCACCCCCCACCCAACCCCCCGCCACCCCTGCTTACTCACTTCCCCCCCCTCCCCACTCGATGCGCGCAGGTACCTGTGCACGTTCTTCATAGTGGACCTGCTCGCACTCTTCCCCTGGGACACCTTCTTCCAGGTACCACGGGAGCCCAGGTGCCACGACTTAGAATCAGGTCAAGAATAGGAGCCTGGTTGGGATCAAGCGCAGGTACCTGTGCACGTTCTTCATAGTGGACCTGCTCGCACTCTTCCCCTGGGACACCTTCTTCCAGGTACCACGGGAGCCCAGGTGCCACGACTTAGAATCAGGTCAAGAATAGGAGCCTGGTTGGGATCAAGCGCAGGTACCTGTGCACGTTCTTCATAGTGGACCTGCTCGCACTCTTCCCCTGGGACACCTTCTTCCAGGTACCACGGGAGCCCAGGTGCCACGACTTAGAATCAGGTCAAGAATAGGAGCCTGGTTGGGATCAAGCAATTGATTGAAGCAGCACAAGATGAATCAAGATGAATGTCCGAGTCGTTGGACAAAGTCGTTGTCCCTCCTGGAAACGTCACTATCAACTATAATATATAACAAAATATTATATATGTATGTATATATGTATATATATTTTTATATGTATATAGGGTGTACACAACAACAGCATGTGTTACAGTTTGAGGCGAACCTCCCATCCGCAGTGGAAGTCTTAGGCTACACACCTATGCATCCTCAAAGCATCCTCCTTTTACTGATTATTCCCTTTCTTTTCCATGTTTCCCCGTTCTTCCACTTTTGGGGTTTGCCAGCTGGCAGGGGGGGAGGCGGGTGACAACCTGCTGAGGTGGTTCCTGTGGACCCGCGTTGTGAGGACGCGGCATATCATGAACTACTTTCACAGGTGTGTGCTGTGTATTGCATTGGCTATGTATTGCATTGGCTATGAATTGCATTGGCTATGTATTGCATTGGCTATGTATTGCATTGGCTGTGTATTGCATTGGCTGTGTATTGCATTGGCTGTGATTAACACTGGCTGTGTGTGGCATTGTGACTCGTATGGGTGCTTGCCTTGCCTGGTCACATCACACGGTTCCCTCCTCCTGTGTGTTGCAACCCATGTGGTTCCTGTGGACCCGAGTTGTGAGGACGCGCCACATCATGAATTACTTCCACAGGTGTGGTGTTGCGCTGTGTGGTGTTGTTTGTGTGCAGCATTGATCGTCTCCAGCATTGTGTGTGGTTCCTTCGAGCAGGTTCCTTCCTTCCTTGTGCACCTTAGATACGTTGGTTGTGTGTCTTGCAGCTTATACTTCCAGCATAACGCACCTGTTACCATACTTCCAGTCGTTCGAGTCTCCACACCACACCTGCCTCCTCCTCCCGTCGTGCATTTCGACTTCATAACGGGTCTCCACACCACCCATCTGTCTATTCCCATCACCCAGGCTGCGGAGGGACATCCATGTGAGCTACTTCGCAGTGCGCGTGGTGAAGTGAAGCCTATCTTCATCGAGCGATTTCCCACAGTGCACACTGCCCTATTTCCCGTTTCTACATCTCTCATCCCGTATCTGTATCTTCACTTTCGCTGCTCTCCCCCCACCCACCCAGGCTGCACCGCGAACTTCCATGTGAGCTACTTCGCAGTGCACGTGGCGAAGTGAAGCCTATCTCTATTTCGTGCACAGTGAAGGCTGCCCTATTTCCCATAGTGGCCCTATCTGCAAATTCACCTGCCTACTCCCTCCTTTCCCCCCATCACCCAGACTACAGCGCGACATCCATGTGAGCTACTTTGCGGTGCGAGTGGTGAAGCTCATATTCATCGAGCTCTACATCACCCACGTCGCCGGCTGCTTCTTCTACTTCCTCGCCACCACCTACCCGCCCGACCAGGTGGGTCAATCAGAGCCACCACCTACCAGGTGTTAATCATATGTAGGCTAAGGTGGGTCAGATTCACCACCTACTCAGGTGGGTGGAAAGCATCATATGTTCTCTTCAATCTGTGAATGAAAAACTTTTGGGCTAGCAAGCAGCGCCTGCGGCCTTCAAAAAGATCCCGGGCTGCTGCTCATTGGTCTGGATTTGGAACTGGAAGTGTGGTCCTGCTCGCTTTGCGACATCGAATGCGGTCTGGCACTCGACAGTGCCATGTGCCATATTATTTCCGAACACAGCACCGCACCCGCGTGCAGGAATCGGCACATATGCCCGCTATGAAGGACAAATGTGGTGCATGGAAGGCAGGCACTCTGCTGCAGCACCCTCGCATTGCGGCAATCCTGTAGTAGTGTCTATCCGAGACCGTAATGGGCTTTGCGGTGCTTTTGGCTCCTCCCAGCATAGGCTTGCACTTCGTTGTATCACCTTTTGCTAGGATTGAGCAGAGAAACGATTCGAGGTGAAGTGAACATGCTTTTTTTTTTAGCTTAAAGCGTTCGAGGCAAACGTGTTCGAGGTTCGCCCGAACACGTTCGTGTTCGGGCCGCTGCTGCAATTTGCCCCGCGTCGAACTCGAACGTGTTCGAGGTTCGCCCAAACACACCTTCACAGGCGAACACCGAACATATGTTTTTGCTACGGTTTGGCGAACGGCTGAGTTCGTGCAGGGGCGAACACGAACGCGTTCGTGTTCGCCCCTTGCTCATCCCTACCTTTTGCTATGCCTTAACGTTGTACCTTCTGCAAAAGATCTATACCGTGCCGGTGAGACACTTTGTTTGTCACCTGCTTCCCTTTGTCGGTTTTATCCTCTCTGCCCTGTGGATGCACTTGTTGTTGCATGTGAGAGCCTTTCGCTGTGAACAATGTTAACCCCCTTCGTTATACGCCGTCTCAATGTTAATGGGATTAATCAACAACAACAAATTAATGATATGAGCAGTTGGTTAGCTGATTGTGATAATTAATCTTTTGTTTTTGATTTACCCGTTAACATTGATTGCGTTGACGAGGGGATTAACATTGTTCACAACCAAAGGCCCTCACATGCAAGAGCATGTACATCCACAGGGCAGAAAGGATAATGCAACGCGGACAAGGGAAAGCAGGTGACAGTCAAAGTGCCGCACTAGCACGGTATAGATCCTTTGGGTACAACGTTAAGGCATAGCAAAAGGAGATACAATGAAGTGCAAGCCTATGCTGGGAGGTGCCGAAAGCACCGCAAAGCCCATTACGGTCTCGAAGAGATGTTACTATAGAAATGCAGCAATGCGGGGGTGCTGCAGCAGAGTGTCTGCCTTCCATGCACCGTATTTGTCTTTCATAGCGGGCATATGTGCCGATTCCTGCATGCCGGTGCGGTGCTGTTCAGAATCAATCTGGTACATGGCACTGTCGAGTGCCAGACCGCATTCGAAGTCGCAAAACGAGCAGGACCACACCTCCACGTCCAAATCCAGACCAATGAGCAGCAACCCAGGATCTTTTTTGAAGGCTGCAGGCGCTGCCTGCTAAGCCAAAAGCTTTCCATTCACAGAAGGGAATCATATGTAGGCGCACACCGTTCGCCGTTCTCTGCATGCCACCACTGAACCGAATGCAATGCAAACCTTCATTTCCCTCTTGGATTGCGTCGCATCCGAGCCATATGTTTGTAGCATACATGCTTTGCCTGGACGTTGTTCGATCACATGTGATGTGACACACACTGTTCACATGTGATGTGACACACACTGTTCACATGTGATGTGACACACATAGTTCACATGTGATGTGACACACACTGTTTACATGTGATTTGAGACACGCTGCCCACATGTGATGTGACACACACTGTTCACATGTGATGCGACACACACTGTTCGCCTTACATTGTGCTACGATGACGCTCCAGTCCGAGGTGTGAATATTGCAAGTGTAAGGTGGTGAATCACGAGTGTCTTGCACTTTGTCTCTATATTGCTCTACCAAGTTTCCTCAAACAACCTTTGAGTGTAACTTGACTGGCACAATCGAACTCTACCTTCAACTTTCGCTCACTTGCTTGTGCCTACCAACCCCCGCCCCTTGCACTTGGATGACCTTGCAGGAGGGCAGCACGTGGATTGGCAGTCTGACACTGGGTGATCTCACCTACACCAACTTTCGGGAGATGGACCTGTACACGCGCTACTTCACGTCGCTCTACTGGTCGGTCATCACCATGGCCACCATCGGTGAGTGCTCTCTCTCCCATTGAGAATGCACGTTCACCATTTTCCGTTGGTGATGGAGGGCCATGTTAGGTGAGTGCAGCTTGAGTCATCACCATGGCCACCATCGGTGAGTGCTCTTTCTCCCATTGAGAATGCACATTCACCATTTTCCGTTGGTGATGGAGGGCCGCCTTAGGTGAGTGCAGCTTGAGTCGTCACCATGGCCACCACCGGTGAGTGCAGCTTGAGTTGAGTGCTCATACGCCCGTATGAAGACCTTGAGGGTCGAAAGAGAGCCACTGGCGGTTGATTAGCAAGGAGTACAAGAAGCGGTGCAAGCGCGTGGCTGATTACCTGGTGCAGGCTGGGTATGACGACAGCAGCGGGCGCGTAATCGCAGAGGTGCTGACCATGCTTAACGGCAAGGATTTCTTGCGCATGACAAAGTTCTTTCTCACGCACATCGACCTGAGTGAAACTTTGTCATGCGAAAAAAATCCTTGACGTTAAGCATGGTCAGCGCCTCTGCGATTACGCGCCCGCTGCTGTCGTCATACCCAGCCTGCACCAGGTAATCAGTCACGCACTTGCACCGCTTCTGGTGTTCCTTCTTGCTAATCAACCGCCGATGGCCCTCTTTCGACCCGCCAGCCACTCCTTCCCCCTGACCATGCACCTTCACAGATTTCTGTGACGGTGGCGAGACCATAGAGGACAACAGTGTCCTCCCCAGCTGTCCTCGCTCGAGTAGCTTCGGTTGGTCTTCCCACCTGTTTCTTGCTGCATGTCGCCCCATCCACCTTTCGTCTGTCCAAATTATGGCGATGTGTGCGCTTTCATTGGACCACAACAATTGCTCGTCCCACTCAATTGCTCCCTTCTGCTGCCTCTGCATCATACCCCCCTCTCAGGGTATGGCGACGTGCATCCGGTGAACGCGCGTGAGATGGTGTTCGCCATGGCCTACATCTCCTTCGACCTCGTGCTCTCCGCCTACCTCGTCGGTGAGCCATGCCATGCCATGCTCTCTGCACCCCACCTCATCCTTGAACCTTTGTGGGGGGGGGGGACTCCGCCCTCTCCTGGTGGCACATCATAGGGTCCGTTGTGCTGCCGCCAATGCCCCTTCAAGGACCCAGGGAGGTCTGTATGCTGCTGTCATTGTCCCTTGCCCTGAGCTTACACACCACTGTGCCCTCACCATCGTCTTACAGCTCGTTGTGCGCTGATCTCACACCACGACGCGCCCTGGGCAGGCGACACACAGCGATGGTGGTGAGGTGCTTATGCTGCCACCATTGCACTGTACCGTGCGCCTCACACCTGGTTGCACCCCGTTGCACCCCGTTGTACCGCGTGCAGGCAACACCACGGAGATGGTGGTGAAGGGTTTTTATGCTGCCCAATTTGCCCCTTATCTCCTTGCGTATTGCCCCCTGTGCCCTGTGCCCTATGCCCCTCACAGGCAACATCACGGCGATGGTGGTGAAGGGGTCCAACACGACGCGGTACCGGGAGAAGATGTCCGCTCTGATCAAGTACATGAACCGCAACCACCTGCCCCACTCGCTCAGGCAGCAGATGAGGCAGGTGCGACTGTGAGAGGAGAGGGAGTGGAGGGTAGGGAGAGTGAGTGTGGCGGGGAAGGAGTGAGAAGAGGTCCGCACTGATCAAGTATATGAACCGCAACCACGTGCCACACGCTCTCAGGCAGCAGATGAGGCAGGTGAGTGAGAGGGGTGGGGGTGGATGGGGGTGGGTGGGAGTGCGGGTGAGAGGGCTGAGGGTGGAGGTGAGAGAGTGAGCGTGAAGGGAGAAGGAAATGTATGTGGAAGTGCGTGCTGCATGCTCGCAGTGTTCAGCCCTTTTGCCTTTCTTTTCTTTCAACCCATCCGCGCCCGTGTGTACACATGCGTCTCTGCTAGAGCAGAGCGGGTTCAGGATGAGGGGATGAGGGTGTTTCCTCTCACCATCTCCCTTCTCACATGTCCCATCCGCCACTCCATCCATCTGGTTCCTCCCAACCGGGCACGGTGGCACCACGACACCCACCTATGCACCACACCACCCATCCATGCACCACACCACCCATCCATGCACCACACCACCCATCCATGCACCACACCACCCATCCATGCACCACACCACCCATCCATGCACCACACCACCCATCCATGCACCACACCACCCATCCATGCACCACACCACCCATCCATGCACCACACCACCCATCCATGCGCCACACCACCCATCCATGCGCCACACCACCCATCCATGCACCACACCACCCATCCATGCGCCACACCACCCATCCATGCACCACACCACCCATCCATGCACCACACCATCCATCCATGCACCACACCACCCATCCATGCACCACACCACCCATCCATGCACCACACCACCCATCCATGCACCACACCACCCATCCATGCACCACACCACCCATCCATGCACCACACCAGCACGTGCGGCTGCAATTTAAGATGGGGCACGTGGAGGAGGAGGAGGGGATGAGGAGGCTGGGGGCATTTGTCTCACCACGCTCTATCACCACCCACTATCACCCCTCCATCTATCTGCTCCTACCTACCCACCACCACGGCAGCACGTGAGGCTGCAGTTTGAAACGGAGCAGGTGGAGGAGGAGGTGATGGAGGTGGCAGGGGGCTTTTCTCACACCACCCTCTGTAGACTGTATCCCAACATGCCCCATCCACCCCTCAACTCAACCACCCATACCCCACCACACCACACCACACACCAGCACGTGAGGCTGCAGTTTGAGACGGAGCAGGTGGAGGGCGAGGTGATGGAGGAGATACAGAGGCGTTGCCCCCACCCACCACACCACCCTCACTCTCCCCACGTTGCCCACCCTCCCACCCCTTTTATCATCCACCACCACAGCACGTGAGGCTGCAGTTTGAGACGGAGCAGGTGGAGGGCGAGGTGATGGAGGAGATACAGAGGCGTTGCCCCCACCCACCACACCACCCTCACCCTCCCCACGTTGCCCACCCTCCCACCCCTTTTATCATCCACCACCACAGCACGTGAGGCTGCAGTTCGAGACGGAGCAGGTGGAGGACGAGGTGATGGAGGAGTTTCCTCTCAGCATCCGCCACAAGGTGGCGCGCGCCCTCTACCAGCGCGCTGTGGAGGCCTGCTACCTCTTCGAAGGCTGCTCGGGAGAATGCATTAACCAGATCGTGAGTGGCGCTGTTGTGCGGTTCCGTGCGGTGTTGTGCAGTGCTGTGTGGTTATGTGCTCTCAGCATCCGCCACAAGGTGGCGCGCGCCCTCTACCAGCGCGCCGTGGAGGCCTGCTACCTCTTCGAAGGCTGCTCGGGCGAGTGCATCAACCAGCTCGTGAGAGGCCTTTAGTGGGATGAAGGTCTGTATTCACAAGTGTGCATCTGCCAGCATGCTGTCGAGGCGAGGGGGCTACCTCTTCGCAGGGTGCGGGGGAGTGCATCAACTGGATCGTGAGTGGTGCCGTTGTGCTGTGCGGTGCTGTGCTGTGCGGTGCTGTTGTGCTGCTGTGCTGTCTCAAAAGGTGGCGCGCGCCACCCCCGAGTACTAGTACCCGCTGGAGATGCTCACTCAAAAGAACAGCCTTGTACCCCTATTCCATGCTCCGCCTGAGTGGTGCTGTGTGGTGCTGTGTGGTGCTGTGTGGTGCTGTGTGGTCCTGTGTGGTGCTGTGTGGTGCTGTGTGGTGCTGTGTGGTGCTGTGTGGTGCTGTGCTCTTCTTACAGGTAGCGCGCGCCACCCCCGAGCACTACAACGCACTGGAGCCTGGAGGTGCTCATTCAGCCATGTACCCCCTCGTTCCTGCTCCTCCCTTGCTTCTGTGCGGCGCTATGCTCTTCTTACAGGTGGCACGTGCCGTGTCCGAGTAGAGTACTATCACCCCTTGGAGGTGCTCATTCAGAAGAACGGCGCCATGCCCCTTCTCTCACACTCTGGTGCCGCCCATGCCCTGCCCCCTGTTTCAACAGGTAGCGCGCGCAGTGCCCGAGTACTACTACCCCTTGGAGGTGCTCATCTTACAATGTACCCCTCGTTCCCTGCTCCTCCCATGCTGCTGTGTGCTGCTGTGTGCTGCTGTGTGCTGCCGTGTGCTGCTGTGTGCTGCCGTGTGCTGCTGTGTGCTGCTGTGTGGTGCCGTGCTGTCCCAACAGGTAGCTCGCGCAGTGCCCGAGTACTACTACCCGCTGGAGGTGCTCATTCAAAGGAACCGCCTTGTACCCCCTGTCCATCTCTCTGCCCATTGTGTGCGGTGCCATGCGGTGCTGTGCTCTTCTTACAGGTAGCGCGCGCGGTGCCCGAGTACTACTATCCGTTGGAGGTGCTCATTCAGAGGAACAGCCTTGTACCCCCTGTCCATCTCTCTGCCCATTGTGTGCGGTGCCATGCGGTGCTGTGCTCTTCTTACAGGTAGCGCGCGCGGTGCCCGAGTACTACTATCCGTTGGAGGTGCTCATTCAGAGGAACAGCCTTGTACCCCCTGTCCATCTCTCTGCCCATTGTGTGCGGTGCCATGCGGTGCTGTGCTCTTCTTACAGGTAGCGCGCGCGGTGCCCGAGTACTACTATCCGTTGGAGGTGCTCATTCAGAGGAACAGCCTTGTACCCCCTGTCCATCTCTCTGCCCATTGTGTGCGGTGCCATGCGGTGCTGTGCTCTTCTTACAGGTAGCGCGCGCGGTGCCCGAGTACTACTATCCGTTGGAGGTGCTCATTCAGAGGAACAGCCTTGTACCCCCTGTCCATCTCTCTGCCCATTGTGTGCGGTGCCATGCGGTGCTGTGCTCTTCTTACAGGTAGCGCGCGCGGTGCCCGAGTACTACTATCCGTTGGAGGTGCTCATTCAGAGGAACAGCCTTGTACCCCCTGTCCATCTCTCTGCCCATTGTGTGCGGTGCCATGCGGTGCTGTGCTCTTCTTACAGGTAGCGCGCGCGGTGCCCGAGTACTACTACCCGTTGGAGGTGCTCATTCAGAAGAACGACGCCGCAGAGCACATGTTTATCGTCTGCTCCGGCACCGTCCAGGAAGCTTCCTGCGTGTACGGCGAGGGGACGGACGACGAGCACTGGGCGACCCTCACCGCCGGCAATGTGGGCCTCGCAGACCTGCTGGGGGGGACCTGCTGGGCTTGAGAGTCGCGGTTTCTAGCTGGGGATGTGCTGGGATGTGTTGGATGGGATGTGCTGAACGGGATGTGCTGAATGGGATGTGTTGAACGGGATGTGCTGAACGGGATGTGCTGAATGGGATGTGTTGAACGGGATGTGCTGAACGGGATGTGCTGAATGGGATGTGCTAGGATGTGCTGGCATGTTCTGGGATGTACTGAGATGTACTGAGATGTACTGAGATGTGGTGGGACGTGCTGAGATGTGTGGTCTGGTGGGGCATGTGAGCGTCCGCCCCGACCAAGTGGTAGTTCTGCTGCCTATCAGCCACGGGCTGGCGTGGGCCTCTTCCCTTCCTCTCCCGTCCGGTGTTGTTTCTCATCGTCATTCCCCTTCTTCTCCTCGGTTCTCTCTGTGCACTCTCCTCGTGTCTCCATGTGTATCCATTTCTCTTTCCCCCCCTCTCCCCCCTTTTTCCTCGCTCCTCGTCCCCATTGCGCAGATGTGTGGGGAGGTGGCGCTGCTGTGCAACATACTGCAGCCCTTCACAGTCACGGCCAAGGAGCTGTGCCAGGTGAAGTGAACCACTCTCGTTGACTGTAACAGATGGAATGTGACAGTAACCGGTGGAATTTGGCTGCTGAAATGTGACAGACAGGTAACTGAACTGCGATAGAAGTAGGTTGTGCTGTGCCTGCTGTGAGCTAAGCTGAGGTTGAACAGTGACTGCAACTGGAAAATTACTAACAATAATTATTATTATTACTCTAAAAAAAAAAAAAACCAACAACAACAACACCAACAAAACCATTAGTGCTCCCCCTGAATGCATGAATTCATGCATGTGTGCATCCTTGGGTGGGTGCATGCATGGATGCTTACAGGTACTGCGCATCGACCGCCAGTCCCTCTCTATAGTCACATCGCTCTTCATCGTGGATGGCCGTCGCATGGTGGACAACCTGCTGCAGGTGGGGGTAGATCCGTGCACACCCTTAAACAGGTGGGGGTAGATCCGTGCACACCCTTAAACAGGTGGGGGTAGATCCGTGCAAACCCTTAAACAGGTGGGGGTAGATCCGTGCACGCCCTTAAACAGGTGGGGGTAGATCCGTGCACGCCCTTAAACAGGTGGGGGTAGATCCGTGCACGCCCTTAAACAGGTGGGGGTAGATCCATGCAAACCCTTAAACAGGTGGGGGTAGATCCGTGCAAACCCTTAAACAGGTGGGGGTAGATCCGTGCACGCCCTTAAACAGGTGGGGGTAGATCCGTGCAACCCTTAAACAGGTGGAGCTAAGTGCAGTGCACACTTTGATTAAATGGTGTAGATCAGTGCACACCCTTATTAGATGCGTCTAGATGGTTGGACACCCTTATTAAGTGGTGCGCGATCAGCACACACCTTTATTGTGGGGCTAGATCGGTGCATGCAGTTGTTAGATGGGGCTAGATAAGTGTGCATCCTTACGTATGACGAGTCCACGCCCATTGCACCCTTCCCTCACATGACACGTCACACGCAGCGGTCAGAGGAGGCGGGCAGCAAGTTTGAGGCGCTGGTGGCGGCACCACGCCCGGCACACCACGCCATGTGCACATGAGCCCACCCACTCCCATCCCGTTGCACCCTTCCCTCACAGCGGTCAGAGGAAGCGGGCAGCAAGTTTGAAAGTCTGGCGGCGGAGATCGAGGCGCTGGTGGCGGCGCAGGAGGCGGACCTGACAGTGAGCACCATCTATGCCGCGTGGACAGGGGACATGGCCCAGCTGCAGCAGCTGCTGGCAGCGGGGGCCAAGGCGGACAGGGCTGACTACGATGGCCGCACGCCGCTGGTAGGGCTGTGAGGTGGGCTTAGGTAGGCTAGGTTGCTGGCACTTGATTTTTCCAAATAAGCTGCTCTCTTCTTCGATTTCATTATCGGCAAGTGGATACTTGTCAATGGGATGAGAATAATCTCCCTCCCTCCCCACCTCCCCGCCTCCCTCTCAGCACCTGGCAGCAGCGGGGGGGCACAACGATCTGGTGCGGCTGCTGCTGCTGGAGGGCGCGCAGGTCAGCGCGGTGGACAACTTCGGCACCACACCTCTCCTCGAGGCACTCAGAGCGGGCCACGATGAGGCGGCCGCCATCCTCGCCAGCAAAGGGGGCACCGTGGGCTTGCAGGTGTGTGCGTGGGGTGGCTTGCTTGAAGGCTGCTGCTGGAGGGGGGCTCTGCTGGTGCGGCTGCTGCTGCTGGAGGGGCCCTTTGCTGGTGCGGATTGCAGGTGGGTGCTTCAGCAGATATCCAGTTAACGCGTTGCAGCGCCTGCCTTGCAAGGAGCATGATGAGGCGCCCCAAACAAACAGTCCATGCACCCAGCCGCCTGCATGTCTCACTCCTGCCTCTCTCCCTCTCTCTCCCCATGCTCACCCACCCACAGGAGGCAGGGCCAGTGCTGTGTGCCGCGGTGGCAGCAGCGGACACGGACCTGCTGCAGCGCCTGCTCTCCCACGGGGTGCATCCCAGCGCGAGTGACTACGACCAGCGCTCCCCGCTGCACATCGCCGCCATCAAGGGCCACCTGCACGTCGCCCGCCTACTCGTCGACCACCACGCTGACGTGGCAGCCCGTGATAGGTGCGTGAAGGCCCCGCAGATTCTGTGCAGTTGGGTGTTTCCAAGCTTCTGAGGATTGTCAAGGTAATGCATGTGCAAGGCAAGGCTGCGGGCCAGCCTCCTCTCTCCATGTCTCCCCATCCCTTGCCATGCTTTTCCCTCTTCTTCATGTCTCTCCATGTCTCTCCTTATCCCTCCATGTCTCTCCTTATCCCTCCATGTCTCTCCTTATCCCTCCATGTCTCTCCATGTCTCCCCTGTATGACCACTCCTTCCCATTGTTCCCTTGCTGCCTCTCCTTCGTCCTGAACCAACCTCCTGGCAGGTGGGGAAGCACCCCATTGGATGAGGCTCGCCGATGTGGCTGCCTGCCGTTGGTCCGATTTCTGGAGGAGGTGGGGGCGCGTCAGGCCAGCCGAGCACACTCTGCTGCCCCTCCAACAGCCACTGCGGCTGCTACAACTGCGGCCCCCGCCACTGCTGCTGCCGCCACTGCTGTTGCCGCCACTGCTGTTGCCGCCACTGCTGTTGCCGCCACTGCTGCTGCCGCCACTGCTGCTGCCGCCACTGCTGCTGCCGCCACTGCTGCTGCCGCCACTGCTGCTGCCGCCAGTCCTGCAGCTTCCACTGGTGCAGCTCCAGTCGCTCCCCCTCCTACCGGTGCCACCCTGTCCGCATCTGCCGGCCCCACAGTATCCCCATCCCCCTCTGCAGTGAGGCAGCTTCTCAGGGAGGTGGGTGCAGGAGAGGCGGCTGGAGGGTTGGAGGATGGTGGGGAGGAGGGTGGTGGGGTAGGGGGTGGGGGCAAGCAGCATACAGTGCAGGAGCAAGGAGAGGAGAGGGGGGAGAAGGGGCAAAGACAGGACGGGGAGAAGCATAAGGAGCGTGGAGAGGAGGGTGACAAGCAAAGCACCTGAGGGCCATGGTAGGAGCTGGTGGTGGGGTAAAGGGTGGGGGCAAGCAGCATACAGTGCAGGAGCAAAGATGGGACAGGGAGAAGCATAAGGAGCGTGGAGAGGAGGATGACAAGCACAACACATGAGGGCCATGGTAGGAGCTGGTGGTGGGGCGCCAGGGGGTGTTGTTGAGGGGTTGTCCAGGGACAGGAGCTAGAGTCGCAAGGATGGCACACAGGCAGTGATTGGGACAGGCGCGGAGCTGTGATAGCACGTGGTGCGGTGGTCCTGGAGTAAAAGACCGTCTATAGTAGGGTGTGGTAGTGGTACCCCCGTCACTGATACCGTAGGTGTTGTTAAATAAATTGATGTGTTCAGGAGGCAACGCTAATGACTAACTAACGGTGTACAGATCTGAGGATTTCTTTTTATAATTAATGTCAAGGCTCCTTGATCCCCATAAACTTTTCTGCCCTCTCGTTTCTGGGCCTCCCTCCCCTCTCCCCATTCCCTCATGCAGTGTGGCTGCTACAGTTGGAGTGCCTCAGAAGAGGGGAAGAGAGGCAGGTGGTGGTGATGCTGAGGCCAGGGAAGTGAAGTGACTTCAGGCAATTGTGCTGAGTTTACTGGCGTACAAAAACTACAGGAAAGCTTTCATTATGCAAACATCAGATTACACTAACTGAAAGAGCATACAAGCAGCAAGTCCAAAGCAAGTACAGAAACCCAGCGGGAATATGTGAGAGAAGCAGCTGATCTAGCAATCCATTGGATCATGCCAAACCCCCAAGCCAGCTGTGCTGATGTTAGAGAAACACCTCTTTACTGTACGTAGTACTGACCAATCGATGCTGCAACAACCCCCTTCACCTCCACACCATCAACTTTAACCGAAAAATAAATGCTCGAGGGAGACGAGTACACCCCAGCGCTTTTTAACGGTTCGATCGGGTCGATAGGCACATAAGCCGAGGTGAGCTCTGCGCCGCCATCCGCGGTGCAGGTCCAAGTGCCCTTTGTCGTGTCCGCCTTGGCTGTGCACGGAATGGCCTTCACGAGGGCTCCCGTGCTGAGTCTGTAAAAACCGGCAGCCGTGATCGTTGCTGACTTGCCGACAGCTATGCCCGCAACGCTGAGGGTGTAAGTAAACGATTGGTAAGTAGACGTGCTGCACGAAAAGAGGGCGAGAAGGGGAGTTTGAGGGAATGAGACAGCTAGTCATTGTTAGAGTATTACGGGAAACGCTCGGTCCTTGTTATGGGAAATCATGCAGCAGTACAGATACAGTATTCGTGGCTTCTTGTGAGGGGCTATTCAACACGATCATTGCGATTATGCAATTGATGAATCAACGTTACTGAACGAGGAAAATCGTCGCTTACAGGTCAGCACGCAGGGAGCACGAGCCAGTCAATGCACGATTGCTCGAAGCAAGCGATGACGCCGACGCTACGTCTGCGCGACAATAGGAAGGATAACCACGAATTGAGGTCGGTGGGCGGAAGAAGGGGGCCAGCGGAGGTAACGGCAGCATGAGACACGAAACAGGGAGCACGCATCGCGGAAAAGGCAAACGCAAAAAGCAACTGAAAAGTAAAGAAAACGCAACTCTAGGGTTACTTCAAAAACGCAAGAAAAAAGTCAAGGTTCAAAATTGTGGGTGCTTGAGTGACTTGATGAGCAACGTTTTTGCCACTTTACTAGCACAAACTGCATACATTGACGCAACTAACCCGGTATGCGGTAAATCAACCTCGAAGTTGCGGAAAGTCACTTCCGAGCAACCACTGCAAAAATTTCACGAGTACGCCACGTGGCATATTACGTACTCGAGATGAAACTGCGACATGCTGACGTGGCTGTCAATGTACGCTAATGACAATCGTCAGATCAGATTTAGATCGACGGACGTGAACTTGCCATGTGAACCAACCAGACATCATTTTTAAGCGTGCGATATCGAAAAAAAAAAATTGCTGGCGATTGGAACAGAGACATTTTCGATTGAAGCTTCTCTTTTATGAGTATGCGTTTTCAAGCACAAATTAGAATTTCAGTATACAAGGTTTTTCTTACAAGGCATGGAAACTACAACCACACTAGAATTACTACGAATAATGCACAGTTGTGGAGATGTGTGAGCTCTGCTAATAAGAATATGGATATAACCTGCAAAAACAGAGAGACAAAAACACTAGTAAAAGCATATCAAGTCTGCCATTCCACCACTCACCATTGGGGTTAATAATGATGGAGTGTGCTCAACAGTGAAAAATTGGCATCTTGCGATTATGGCTGACGATAGGACTGGGTTAACATGTTGGCCCTGCAAAACATGCAAACACAACTTGTTGTAACGCATCCTGCTGACATTGTGTCATATGGGGGCAAATGGCTTGTAAACCGCATACCTGATGTTGTTGCGATAACTCGCAACAGATGGATCTTGAGAAAGCCTGCACGAGTAGGTATGAAAATATGTTAGAAAAGTCAGTCGCAAAGCCAGTCGCGGCTGCTTTTGCAACGATGGTTGCTACGCACCAAACAAGACGTCGGGCTGCAGTGTGTTATGGGATGTTGGGGGTTGGGGGGAGAAGGAGAGGAAGGGGATGGGAGGAAGTCATCAGTGTATATTAGAATTAGATCCGACGTATGTTAACGCAACGTTTAGCTATGACGCAGGGCGTGACTAGACACGTCGGCCAACACATCGTGTAGAAAAAAATGCATACCTCACCAGTGACACGAATATCATCGCGTGGATAAAAATGTATACCACACGAGCAAAACGAATACCATCGCGCTGAAAAAAAATGGTATACCACACCAGCGAAACGAATACCAGCGCGCAGAAAAAAATGCATACATCGCCAGCGACACGAATACCATCGCATAGAAAAACGTATTCCTCACCAGCGAAACGAATACCTATGCGCAGAAACAAATGCATACGGCACCTGCGAAACAAATACTATTGCTTAGGAAAAATGCATACCTAACCAGGGAAACGAATACCAACTCATAGAGATTAAGGTAAACTCACCAGCAAAACGAATACGGTTCTCATCGGAATAGTTGATGAGCATGCGCCTTCACGTCGCTAAGTGCACGATTGTCCTCCACCATAAGTATGATATCCGTTGATCTGCAAACGGGAATGGGAGGTTGCGAGGGTAGGGAAGAAGTCCAGGCAGAGGCTATGACGTATGATACGGACGAATATGGGCATGATCGAAGAAATTGATATGAACATGGCCTCTGTATTGAAATGAATACAAACTTGACTGATGGTGCCCCAGGAGATCGTGAGCGATAGGAGTCTAAGCACTAGGTGAACATTGAACATGAAGTTGTGAACAGAAAATATGTAAACTGAAGGTTGATGAAGGTATTTGCAAGGGCGGAGTAGAGGTGTGAGGAGGATGAGGAAGAAGTTCGCTTGGGTTGGAGGTATAGTGTGCTGACGTGTAGATACCAGATAGTGGTGATTCCCTGATTTGACACAGCAGCAACAATGATTGGCTGAATGGGATTTTTTTGCGATCATTCGTCACCCTTTAGGTCCAACCAGGTGTGCGTGTGTGGTTTAGGTTTGGTGGTTGGTATGCAGTTTTGAAGAAAGCGAATGTGTTGTGACCACGTGTACAATCCAATTGTGTGGAAAATGAAACTCGTATTCACGAAATCGTTGTATCCACCCTCACATTCTCGTTAGTTTTCGTGAAAGCAAACAAAAGATGTAACCGCTTTCAATCCATCTTGACCGCTCGAAACCAAATATGCGATCCTAACGTTACTTTCGAGTGAACTTTTGGCTCCGGTATTCGCTTTCGCAAAAGGTGTATTCAGAGTTGCTTTTTGGGGTCGTCGTTTTCTGTATACTTGGCGCAACAAAACTGCACACTTTTTGCAGAAAAACCTTCGGACCCCCAAAATCGCAATTTCCCTTTTCCGCGATGCGGATAAGGTGCGGCAGAGCATCAATGATACGGTGCAGAGAGCATTGATACGGTGCAGCAGGGAGCATTGGACTGTCGAATCATGAGTGGATGTGCTTCCACCTCGCTGCGAGTGCGTCGGGGCAGGTTGACTTACAGCGTTTGACGGCAATGGCGCCACTGGCTATGAGCCCACGGCGCCCGGCGATGGCGCTGCAGGAGAGCGAGAGCAGCACTGCACATAGAGAACGACGCACGTGGAGAAAACGAGTGATGGGCGTCTGAATCTCAGAGAGGACGGGCAGACCGTCAGAGTTTCTCGATCAAACTCGCGGTTTTGACGGAATAACAGGGACCGGACGAGTAGAGTGCACAAACACAGTAAGCGTTGCCAGGCATTGCCTTTTGAGTGCTCGATGAACAGCGCCGGTGACGATCAGATCATCTGATCGTATGATACTCTCCGGCGAGGACGATCGTTTTTTGAGTCGACTCAAAAGCTCTCGACTCCTCAACGAACGGCAGTGAGAGTATCAGATACTCACCAGCGAGGACGATCGCAAAGTGAGCGGACGTGTGCGCCATGGCTGCTTGAGAGATGCTGGTGGTTGGGGAAGATGCGAATGATGGCGCTGGCTTGAACGAAGGAACGAACAGGTCTATGAGCTGCTTATGACACGCCGGTGCTCGCAAACTGCTGTACTCCCGACTGCTGCTTTAGAAGTTGCGTGATAAATACTTTCGACTGCTGCTTATACTCCGCTGAGCTCGAGCTAACTGCTCGGTACGCTTGAGAACAGCGGCTCGTAGTACACCGTTGTTGCTACTCCGCGCCTTTCGGCGTGGCACGCGTTGCTGTTCAGGTGGTACGAGGAAAGTGGGAAGAGGAGAATGGAAGGAAAAAAGGAGGAAGTAGAAGCGCCAGGTGATTTGGGTATCGTATCGGAAACTCGCTTCCATGGAGCTCTCGAAATACGACCCAGTAGTGACGGCGGCCTCTCAGGCGGCTACACTGTGTCGCAGGGGGCTGGATCCCCTCCACATGGTTTGGCTTGATAGTGGCCAGTGTTTCTAGCAAGAATT